ATGAAATTTATACCAACTCTTCTAGAATTTGAGATATCAGCACCAACTTTAGTTTTTCAAATGTAGGTCATAGCTCACTATGACTTAGTTACAAATAACTTTTTTTTCTCTTACAGATGATATGTCGCAGTAATAGTTTTGTGTTGATAACAACGGAGCTATTGTCATTTATACAAAAACAAAAAATTATTCGGAAGCCGCCATCTTGAATTTATGAATTGTAACAAGAAAATCATGTTCTCCGACCTCGAGAACCCCCACTTACCAATTTCGAATGGAATCGGACCAAATCTTGTCCGCCATCTTGGAGCAGCCATTTTTTTTTTAATTTCAACAAAAATTACATAATGTATTGTCACCGAAATTATGAACACCTGCCAAATTTCAAGTTAATCGGAGTTATGGAATTTTTGTTGAAATTGAAAAGAATGGCTGCTCCAAGATGGCGGACAAGATTTGGTCCGATTCCATGCAAAATTGGTAAGTGGGGGTTTTTGAGGTCGGAGATCATGATTTTTTTGTTGTAATTCATAAATTCAAGATGGCGGCTTCCGAATAATTTTTTGTTTTTGTATAAATGCCGATAACTCCGTTGTTATCAACACAAAACTATCACTGCGACATATCATATGTGAGAGAAAAAAAAATTATTAGTAACTAAGTCATAGTGAGCTATGACCTACATTTGAAAAACTAAAGTTGGTGCTGATTTCTCAAATTCTAGAAGAGTTGGTATGAATTTCATATTTTTCTCGAAATCACTTCGAAAAACTGCCATGAGAATGTGAAATTTCTATTAGAATATTTTCATAAATAAAGAAGTTACGGAGGAGACATGAAAATGACCAAAATCTGTTTTTTGCGTATAAAACAAAAACGAATAGATTTTTTCAAAATATTTTTTCACATAATAGTTGGCCTTGACAAACTCCACATTTGGTGTCATTTAACCGACCTCGTATCTCTCACCGTTAAAAAGATACCCATGGTGAGCATGGTAAGTGGGACACACTGTATATCTATTTCTGCAATGAACTTTTGTCTTATACGAATTAATGGATTTTTCATTGTGTGATAATTATTTTAAAGGTAGAAGGACACTTCGAACTGCTGCGGATTTTGCAAATAATTCATGTATGCCGAGGTCACCTCATTGGTAATGTGTTGAATAACAAACATTTTAGGCATTTTACGTAACTCCAACAAGAAAAACTATAATAATAATAACAATAATAATAATAATAATGATTAGATATTTCGGTAACCATCAGTTAGAAAATGCACGAGATCCTGCAAAACACAGTTACAGAAAATGCGTTTCCTAACGTGTTACGTACAATATTTTCTCTTATTTTAATGAGAAATTAAGCTTGAACATAAATACTGACCAGTTCTACAGGAGTTCTACCGATTATGTACAGGGTGATTCACCATAAATGTCCCCCCCTCTAGCTCACTTAATTTTTAACCGATTTTTTACAAATTCTTTTCCCATTGCATCAGAAAATACAGGGTGCTCGAAACAAACGATCTACAGAGTACTACTTGATTTTTTCAAATTGAACATCCTGTATTTCATTATATTTTTAGATCCTCCCTGAAGAGCTGATTTCATCAATGTATCGCACTTGGGGTCTAGCGGGAATGATTACAGAGATATAGGGTGTTCAAAATCGAGATTTTTCAACTTTAGTATTTTTTTGTGTCGAAACTATTCATTATTGTTCAAAACGGCTTCAATGTCCCTATCTCAACTTTTGATTTACTATCTACTGACATTTAATTGGAATATATACGGTGTGGTTCAAGATTCAGAATTCTGATCGCCCTGTATCTGTTCCAATTATTAAATGTCAGAAGATAGTGAATCAAAAGTAAAGATACGAACATGAAAGCCGTTTTGACCAATAATGAATAGTTTCGTCACAAAAAAATCCCAAAGTTGAAAAATCTCGATTTTGAACACCCTATATCTCTGTAATCATTTTCGCTAAACCCCAAGTATGATACATTGATGAAATCAGCTCTACAGGGAGAATCTAAAAATACAATGAAAAATAGGGTGTTCCATTTGAAAAAATCAAATAGTACCTTGTAGATCGTTTCTTCCGAGCACCTTGTATTTTCTGATGTAGCGGAAAAAAACTCTATCGAAAATCATTTTAGATGATTTTTGGAATTTTGCAATCGGTTCAAAAGTAACTAATCTAGAGGGGGGGGGACATTTATGGTGAATCACCCTGTACAAAATATAGTATAGGAAAGTTGACTTCACCCGCCACCTTCAATCAGGGTTGGCATGAATTAATCCATATTAATTGAATCAGTGATTCAATTCGTGAATTAATTCAAATAATGACTTTTTTTTTAAGTCATGAATTAATTCAAACTTTCCCCAATGGGAATAAATTATCGCATTATTACCTTCATTTAGAACAGACAGACTGACACTCTGGTAGAATACTATTATTTTCAGAAAATTCTATAGTTTTGTGTTCTGTTAGTTAATCAGTTTTGGTATTGTTTTCGTCCTCTTCATGGAAGAATCAAAGAAATATTCCTTGAATTGGAACTTTTTTATATGAAAAATCCATGGCCCACTATCAACATTCAATATTTCAGTGATTTTGGAGCATTTCTGAAAATTTTATATTCATACATCAAATATCATTTTGAAGGAAAAAATTAGGAATTTAATGAGCTAATAAAATTCAAAAAATCATGAGTTTGAGTAACCCATCTCCAAAACCATACCACTAGAAAAAAAATGAGTGCGCCACTGGATTCTGCGTGATTTTGGAGCATTTTTGAACATGTTATTTTCATACATTAAATATCATTTTGAAAGGAAAAAATAGGGAATGTAATGAGCTAATAGAATTTAAAAAATCATATGTTTGAGTGGTACCTATCTCCAAAACCATACCACTATATATTGAGTGCGCCACTGGATTCTGCGTAAAGTTCTCTATGATATAACATTCTTATTTGACATTGTCGCTAAGAAACTTCGTAGATATAGAGGGGGTCCAAAAAGTATACATTTTCAAAATCGCCCTGTATCTCATAAACGAAAACAGTTATGCAAAATCTGATTAGGCCATTTTGAGTTTTACAGAAAAGTGGCACAGGACCGAAATATCACGCAAAAGCATCTGGACACACTGTACATATAGGTACTCTCGGTACTTTTAGTGCGCACTGTATATACATATTATTTTTGAATGCGCAAACAATTATCCTGATCGACCACAAACAGTTTTGTAGACGAACTGTTTTGGTTTTAGAGTTAATAACGATTTGTTTTTTTTTTTCGTATTCATTCGGAGTTGAAATACAGCAGTTTAAATATATTGGAATAGCAGAAGCCCAAATTGCTTTGGTTTCATCAAATGTTTGCGGATCTCCGTATATCTCTGTAATGTCGAGTGCTTTTCCATTTGAAGCTCTACTAGAATATCAGAGTGGTCGTTGTGGCTTTGTTCACATTTGGGAAACAATTTTATTCCATCATTTGTAGAGGCATCAGATTCAATCCTTGGAATATGTCGAACAACACCCTACCAGAACTCGTTCGTCTATAGCTTTGAAATTCTTTACCAATGAAAGTAATCCCAAGACCGCCCAAGAAGATATAACTTCCAAAAGTTCAAATCGAATTGTTATTGTTTCCTCAAAAACTAAGCTAGATACAGAAATCACACAGAGAATAAAAAAGAAGTTATACCAATAGTTCAATCTAATAAAAAAATTAAACTCAGAAAAACCAGTGGTGTACAATGACATTCACCATGAATACCGATAAATTTACCCACTGTGACGCCACTGGGAATATTATTTCGAATCTAATTGCACTAGAAGAAGCTCCATATCACTATCAACAAAACCACAACGTTTTATTGAAATTGATGAGAAGACAATAATTGAGAAATGAATAGAAATAAGATTTTTCATGGAAATATTAATATCCTGTATCTCGAAAACGAAGCAAGTTAGGACACATGTTTATATGAACTTTATTTCCTAAAATATCACAAAGAATCACACCTTGAATTTTTTCGGTGTTATTTAGATACACCCTGTATACCATTGTTGTTCATTTTATGAATATTGTGTGGAAATGACTGAACATTTCATTCCATTTTGAGCATTGTGGCTATTTCGTAGTAGTTGTAATGTCAACATCATTTAAGAAAAATATCAGCTTGAATCAATCGAGTAATCCGCTCATTATACAATCAACAGTTTCTGAATTACAATTATTGATCAATCTAAATTACAATAAATGAAGCTTTTTGAATATTGCTTGACTGAACTGAATCACAATAAATCTCGCTTTCTGAATCTTGATTGACTTATCTGAATTATAATTGAAAATGTTTAATTCTCAATTAACTAATCTTCGTGAATTTCAGTCGACTATTGATAATTGCAGCTTGCGTTTCTTCTATGAGTGTATAATCGTTCCTTTTTAATAAGTAGGTACCTATATGTTATACGATTTACACGTCGATTTTTTTATACTTCTTGATTGACATGTCTTATTTCATGTATAAGAACAGAAAAGATGGATAAATATGCTATTCCTATTCTTTATAAATCTCGATGGTCTTATTTGAATCGAAATTGTCCTTTCTGAATGACTATTGATTGATCTAAATCACAAATAATAGTGTGTGAATGCCAATTGGTTAGTATCAATTACAAAAATGGGAGTTTCTGAATTTCAATTGATTGATCTGAATCACAAATAACTGTGTGAATTTCAATTGGGTGATCTTGATTACAAAAATTAGTGTTTCTGGAATACTTTTCTGATTTCAAAACGCTATAGATCCGATTACCTGATGCGAGATTCCCTCCACCTTGAAGGATTATTGATTATTATGTACATTTAATGTGAATAACGATTCATCGATTGAAAGAGATTTGTGGTCCCATTACATTTTATGGTTTACGGTTTCTGAATTTGAATTCTGATTGTTTTTTTTTTGTTCCAGTTATAACCACCAAAGCTAAGGCACAAGATAATTGTAATGCAGATCAACTGATGCACTGCGCCAAACCACTGTCAGTTTTAACAGATTCCGGATTGACTTCGTTCGTTTCTAGTAAATCCGACTTGGAAAAAGTTTGCCCGTAAGTATGAATATACCAACTACGCCTAACCACCTACAAATAGTCCGGTAACATGTCAATTGATCCATAGACATCATATCCGTGTCATTATATCCGCATTTATGTCAATGGCTATGCAGTCGACTGCGGCCTCAGATGGGTCTATTGTGGCTCACCACTATAGAGGTTACATTTCACTGTACTATCAACATCTTTTTACAAAGTCCATGGTTGAATAAGGTGAGATTTGTCTGCAATCTACAGGTTCTAAATTGGTAAAGCCAAATATATCGGACCTCAGTCTCTCTAAGCAAGAGCATGAACATAATATGTGTTCAGCCGTCTTCCACACAGCAGAACCGACAGTCCGTTTGTTGGTTTAGACCTATCCTACCTAGGTGGTATCTTAGACGACAGTGTCCCGTAAGGAGTCCTGTCAGAATTAGCAGGTTACTCCTGCTCCATTCTAGGATCTGCCTGGTTATATTTCTCGATGGTTTAGGCAGACACGCCTTCGACTGGGTTAATCCTGGTAATTCAGACCAGTACGTGATACTTTTGCTCTCCGCCCAGATGGAGATAGTTGTTTTGACCGCACTTGCGGTGATCCCAAAGTATGGTTCTGGTCCTATGAACACAGATTCGGTTCCCTGTTTGGCGAGGATGTCGGCTTCCTCGTTGCCCTCCACCCAATGGTGTCCAGGCACCAACAGCAAACTAACTCTGTTGTTTGCACCCAATATTCAATACAGCTCTTTGAGACCCTGTATATCGGAAACAAAGCTCCCACGCATATAATGTTCATATCAGATTTTCGTCTTGTGTAGAAGTAACATAAAAAAAGAAAAAACATAAACAAACGAGGTTTCACCCAACCATCAGCTGGTTACCTCTTTCTCTCTCGTTTGTCGAATTAGTTGGTTGGTATTTTGACCATCTTACTTCAGGAGCGATTGAGGTTCCACTTGAACCAGTGCCGGATTATCCACGTTGCAAGAGTAGCAAATGCTACTGGCCCCGCGAATTGGGGGGCCCCGCGCTTCAACGGCTGTCCGGCCTTGCCCGGCCTGTCTTACTGTGAAAAAATTGCATCAGATCTGTACGACTGTGAAGAATACTATCAGCAATAAACATAGGGACGAATCAAGCGATATACAAAGTGCGACCATTTCAGCGGCTCTGCACTCGATGACTTCGTTGAAAATCAAACACCTAGGCAACGTTTTGCAGTTCAGGTACTAATTTCTATTAATGATAACGTTCTGTCTGCTTCAACTAAACGTTTGAAAGCATTTCATGAAATTACTAGTGCTTTTGGAGTATTTCGATAGCGAAAGAGACTTTGGAAAAATCCTCAAAAATGCTCAGTGACAGATGATTTGAAAACCAGCCTATAGGCGACGAATTAGTGTAGATCGTTGAGCTGCTCAAATCGAATGTGGGTACTGTTATTTATAGCACCAAACAGGAGCCTCTGGAACTACAATTTTTAAACTTTGAAATGTTTTTTTTTTTAGTATTAAAACGTATTAAAAATGAGTTAATGAACACGATGGGCCAAGAACTTCTCAATCATCTCCTTTTGATAAATATGGGGCATGATTTGCTTGAAGAAGTCGATATTGAAAGTGTTATCGCTAAATTTGCCCATATAGGTATATCCAGAGAAGTTTATTTGTAATAGTTTCGATTTATCTTATTAAATACTCTAAACTTGATAACCCAAAGCAAACCAAGGCCCCCCTGATAGAATTTACTACAGGCCTCGCGCTGGCTTAATCCGGCACTGAGTTAAACGGACTTGAAAGATCATAACATAACATCGAAAAAAAAGTTTTTAGGTTTTCTCCCAGCATTTTTGTTTATTGACTAGGAATTTCAACCCTTAGGACAAAGACACACGAGGCGCATTTTCGCCGAGCGTCTGCCGCTCGGCTGCTGAGACAGCATAGTGGTCTTATTCTAATACACATGACCGCACACACGAGGCGCAAAAATATTGGTATCTCTGGTCACAGCTCTGGCGAAACGCGCGTCACATCATCTTGACCATGTGCCGCCTATTGCGCCTAGTCACGCTCGTCGCGCTTGGTAAACGCTCGGCGCGTCGTGCATTGGTGTTCAATATAGCTGCACAGACGAGGCTGCATTCTCGACCATTCGAAGTCGTTGCGTGTTGCCAAATATTTTATATTGTTTGTGTGTCAGTTTCACGATGATGTGTGACGATGAAACTGATTCGGAAAGTTTGATACTAGTGTAATAATTTTTCCTCTGGTGAAATGCTATCTCTCATCACTGTATTTTGTTTCATAACATCACCTTCGATATAGCTGAGTAATGCATTGAATGACTCTCTGGACATTCTAACGAAATTGAAAAACTTTTCGTCATCATCTTTGATTGTTTCATTAAATTGATTGAACAAGCCCTTGTCTGCACGTTTTTCCACGATTGGGTGAATCCACATACATCTATTCTCTTTTTCTTCAATCGGCAATACATTAAGCCAATTATTGTTAAGAATTCATCATCAGAATCCATGATCACTTGACAACGTCTCACTTCTTCAGCGTTCAATTTTCAATAACCATGTTTCACAAGAAAACTGCGTGTGTGCGGTACCTTCGGCCGCCGCGCGGCAGACGCTCGGCGAAAATGCGCCTCGTGTGTCTTTGTCCTTTAGTTGATTTGATTGCGCCAATGTCACTTTCATGTTTATTTCAATTCCTTTCTCTCCCTAGGCAGTATCTAGTAGTATGAATATTATAAAATCTTTGTATAAAAGTTAAACTAGGCACGGCATCCTGTATTAACTGACCATACAGGGCAGGTCCCTATTCGAGAGTTTCGAACAAACTTGGAGTTTCAAATTCAATATCAATACAGTCATAATTCACGATTACAGAATGATAATGTTCAATAAAATATATAGTTACGGCTTGGTTTAGCTGCAGGAAATAATACATATTCAGGAAATTATAGAAATGTGCCTCTACGGATATCGAAAAGTTTCTGTGAACTTCACGGCAGTTGTAATTTATGTCATGGAGAATTACCACCTAGTTGTTGTTATGGCCTTGCATGTTTCAGGAGTCTATCTTTGGAAATGCACCGTTTTGGGTTTAACGCGAGCTTTCTGGAAAGTAATTATATGCTTTCAAGGTGATGAAAAATTATTTCTAAAATTGAATGTACGACGCTACGTTCAAAATAGCCCCTCATTCCTTAAAAAAAAAACACAATAACCTTCACTATAATGAGAAGTCAGAAATATTTATTTGATCCCTTCTAGTCCTTCTAACCTAAATTCCCAAATAAATCCTTCTATTTGTAAAAGACGAAACACCGACAGCGGTACTGACGTCACAAGTATTTCGACCGTCCTCTGTTTCAATCAGGGATTTTACTACCTGATTTACCTACAATAGGAGCACCTTTATTAAATCCACATTCACAACATATTCTTTTTTTTTCAGCACAAAGAGCACAAGTTTGCAAAAAAATGATTTGAAATTCCAGGTCATGCTATGTATTTTACTTTTTTACATGTGAACCTTGTTTATATTATTCATATAACACATTCAAAATTTCAATTTGTTAACTTAATTTTCAGTTACTCCTACTGATTTGACAACAATGTACGTCACTCATTTCATTATTGTTTCTGTCTAGCTTGTCATTATTTTGAATTGTTCCGTGGTCACTGTACCAATTTTTAATGTTCTATGAATGTAGTTGTTTTCTGTTGAATGAACCGAGAAAGAATTGATATTTTCATCACATGGAGAATGCGAATTCTCAATGTATTTCTTTATATATATATATCCATTTTTTTGGTGTTCTTAAGGCGGGCCTTTCGCGACAGCTTTCCGACCGAATATAGCCTATATATATATACTAGTTCAACAACTATTTCTAGGTGTCAGTGTGATGTCGAAATCGGAATAAAATAATTAAATTACAGCTTTCACAGCTATTGTAGAGTTCTTCGATTTCGTCTGTTACAGCAGGTCACCAATAGGTGGCACACAATTGAATGCAATCGTAGGTAATTGTATTATGTACGTGCAGTGTTGCCAGAGCTACTGCTCCACGGGCCTGCTCAACATGATTCCACTTTTCACTCCATTCAAGTCAAGCAAATACCTATATCTCGCTACAATGAAAATTTATGTCATGAGTCATTTTTGAAACTGTCTTCACAAGTAGTCTTTCGAATATTTCTTTTCCTTTTTAATTTCATTTCCTACTGATATAACTTATCATTATTGGCGCCGCCAGAAAAACTTCCAAGGATGGGGATCGAAATCATTGTTCAGGGCAAAATACTCAAAATAGTCTGTGTAATTCAGAAATAATGTGTGCAAGATTTTTTATCAAGTTCAGAAGGCTATAAATAGAAATTTCGTGTTTTCTGTATAGGGTATATACGTAGACGATTGCCTAGTTTCAAATATATCTTCATTCTTACGAATTCACACTGCTATTACTGATATAAGGGTTATATTGATATATACAGTGTGTAGAATGAAAGAAATCCTTGATTCAAATTTCATGTTCTCTAATTCAGACCTGCTTGCTGAAATACAAATTTCGATCATAATTGCACTTATGAAAAAAACAATTTTTTCGAAGTGAGAACTTCTAGGCGCGTTGAGCACTTTTTTTGGGTGGAGAAAAACATTGGATTTCGCGTCATCGTCACGACCCGTTCCGTGTCCCGTTATCGCGAGGTCAATGAATAGCAATAAATTTGAAGGGTGCAGTATCGCATCTCATCTTATATTATGTAGTATTTTGTAATAATTATTAGATTCTATTCTAAATTGGTATATGGAGGTTTTCGGGGTCGGAGATTATGATTCTTTCGTGAAAATTAGGATATTGAAGATGGCTGACGAGTTTTATTTATAATAATTATGATCCCATTCTATTCAAAATTGGTGTCTGGGGGTTCTCGGCGTCGGAGATTATGATTCTTTCATCATGGCTCCACCAATATGGCGCACGAGTTTCGT